GCAAACAACGCCATATATGGGAGAAAGAGAAAAGGGAAAGAAAGAAAGAAGAAGTGGAAGAAAGAGGAGGAGGATGTCTGCCGAAGATAAAGAAACAAATCTACCACGACCACCTCTGTCTGCCCAACCATCGCCGCCACAGCCCCATCATTGCCGCCACCATGGCACAGATCTGATAGACAGATCTAAAAGAAAGAATAAGGGGAAAGAAAAGAAGAAGTGCAGATCTAGCCTCACCATCGCCATCACTGCCACCATCGCCGCTACCGCCTCTGCCACCGCCGCCATACGCAGATCTAGAAGAAAGGTGGAGGTGAAAGAAGAAGGGGGATAGAGAAGGAAGACAACGGGGGAGAAAGAGAAGAGAAGGAGGAAGAGGAGGAGAGAAGAGGAGGAAGAAGAGGAGGAAGGTGACGAGTAGTAATTGAGAAAGAAAGAAGGAAAGGAAGTAAGAAAGGAAGGGAAAAAAAGTGGCGGAGCCAAAAAAGAAGGAAAGATAGGGAGGGAAAAAAAAGAAAGGAAGAAAAGAAGGAAAGGAAGGAAGATGAGGGTAATTTTAGAAGAATAGAGAAAAAAAGGTAGAGCGGGAACATCATTTCCGGACGAAAAAAGAGTAGAACGGGAACATCATTCCCGGACGGAGGGAGTAATATTTAATATTGGTGCAAAATTTAAAAATGAAATTTATACATTTAATAACTACATAAAAACTCTATAAAACAAGAGATTACTTGACTGTGTTATTTTAAATTTTTAACAAATGATTGACGAATATAGGTAAAGAAAGTAGATTTAGTTTGATTAGCAAAGTGTGTAATGAGACCTTCTTTTAGGAATGAAGGGAGTATAGTTATTAAAATAGATTTCTAAGGTAATGTTTATATATCTTATTTGGGTTTTATTCTCAAGGATTGTGAACTCTTGTTTCATGCTATTGAGGATGCACGTATAGTTTTTTTAAAAGGACAAAAATATGGTTGGTCACTCTTTTACTCAAACTGCATATTCCATGTTTGTCATGGATGTTGTCCCCACCTTCCTTCATTTATGGTGTAATGACTAGCCATTTGGTTCTCTAATGAATCCAGTTTTACTTCCAAAGAACGACTCACACAAAGCAAAAAAAACTTACATGCGTGATGATCACAACATTATGAATCAGATTGGAACAAATTCTATCAACATGCATCCTTGTTCTCTGACAAGCTGTTATAACTGCTTGTAATTCAGCTTTGAAGGCAGCTGCAAAATGAACACAAAAGTATTAGCACATTAAAAAGTGATATGATTAAGGCCGTGGCCTCTGTGCCATGTATTAATAATGTCATGTTTATATAGAAAATATATATAGATCATCATAAAGAGATGCAAGAATTACAATTAAAAGATTTTAAGGGACAATCACTAGATTGGGTGGTAAGAACTTTGAACAGAACTGTGTTCAAGAACATATTACATGATGACAAGCTGGCCAATGCCAATCGAATCCTGTTACGAGCAAATAGCTGACTTTCATTAGTCGGATCTTCCACCCATCTTTGGTTGGCAGCTCTACATATCTGTGATACCAAAACATGTTGAGTATACGCAATGTGAAATAAACTATTGATAATAGCTTTTCCATGGTTTTTTCGACCAACCTTCCGCATATCTTCTTTTGAAAACTCCAAGAGCGGTCTAACCAGTAAGGTTTTATGATGTTGGGAACGTTCCAGATTTGTATGCGCACAGTACAATTCTGATACAAACGGCATGCAAGAGAGCCCAAGCACACCGCTATTCCGAGATAATCTCAAAATGAATAGCTCTGCCTGTGTATGTAATCTTATTAAATTACTAAGGTATAACCCTATGAAATTAAACAGTTCAAGACTTCATGTTACTAGATTTTCCATTCTGTACTTGTATCTACACCTAGACCTGGTGGCACATAGCAGCTTAAATGAAAATGAAAACATGCAATATTCATGAAGTTGAAATTTTGATTGGCACAAACCTGGTCATCAGCATGATGTGCAATTAATAAGACACTCGTCTGATGCTGGATACAAACACTTTGTAGAATTTCATACCTGTGCAAAGTAGTCTTTGTTATGATCTTATCACAGTAAAGCAAGATATCATAGAGAAAGAATGAGCCATTGGGGTAAAAGGTAGGGTATAGTACCTTTTATTACGAGCCTCTTCTTGAACATGGCCCTGTTTCGGTCTACCATCCAACCATTCGCAATGAGCAATCTCACATTTAATACCTACATGAAGTTACATCCCACTAAACTCTCTATTAAGAAGACTCAGATAAGCTCCAAAACCAAATCGAGAAAAGAAACATCCTATGAAGGTATTGTATATGTACCCATATCGGTGACTCGGCCCTGAACAAGGTTGGCCTCGTCTTTACTCTCAGCTCGTAATCCATGGTCCACTACTATAGCCAAAAGTCCATCAATGTACTGGGTTTTCTCATTAGTGATAAGACCATTACCTTGACTGTTTGTTTTCCAAGATGCTGCTAAAACACACAAGGCCATGCTATCGGGACCACCAGAAACACCCAAAGCTTTTGAAAGCAAAAAAAAAGTGGGGAAGAAGATATATATTAAGATCTTATTACTCTTTATGAAAAAATGAAAGGAGCTCAAGCAGTCAGAAAAATACAATGCTTAAAAAGAAGGAAATAAAATCACAACTTTAATGTAAATCATAAGTTCAAAATTTTTAGTGAATATCAAATATTTCAATTCTAATTTATAGAGAACATGAAACTGACCAATACGGTGATGAGGTTTGAGGCCAGCCATTGCCATGCGCTTGGCAAAGGTCTCTATGTAGTTGGACAAGTCAAACTCCCTGTTCTCCTGATGGTCATCGGATGAAGAGCAAAGAGTGCGAATGCAAAAGGAGGAAAATTTGGATTTGGAGAGTTTAAATGGAATTCTGGAAATGGACGAGTAAAGTAGGAAGCGGGAGGGGTTTGTAGCCTGCTGTACTGCCTGCGCCATTGATAGCTGAGACAAGAGATGGGCTCCGCTCACTGGAAACCTATCATCATTGTGCAAAAACTGTTTGTGGCCTTCATAAGTATTAAATCTATAATCACTGTAAACTCTCTGGACTATCTAAAAAGTAAAAATAGTTTTCTGCAAACTCTTGAAGTTCTAAAAATGAAGCTAAATATTACACAAAGCCACAACAACAACAAATGGGGTGTGGGGGTCAAGATTGGTAAGCAGTTTTACACCTATAAAAAATTAGGAAAGATTATCCAGAATAATCCCAACTTTACTTGATCTTTCAAAAATAATCCCACCTTTCACTGTGATGCATAATAATTCCAACTTCACTGAAGTTTGCGAGTTTTGGGTCGCCGTTAAGTTGCTAACAGCGGGTTAACGAAAACGGCTTGTTTTGCGTAGCAACATGAAAGTTGGGATTATTTTTGATGAAATTTCATTTTTTTAAATTTTTTGAAATCTTCATTTAAATTTTTAAAATTACTTTTTGCCTCCATCATTTCTTTTTCTTTTCCTTAAGATTAGTCTTACATTAAAAAAATAAAAATAACAGATATAAAAAATAACGAATATGAGAAAAGTAACTAAAAGTCTAAAATGGCACAAAATTAATAAAAGAAATAAGGTAATCAATAGAAGCTAACTTGAAACTGGTAAGAAAAATATACGGAGTGGTGGGTTTTAATATTTTAGGCACTATACAAAGTATTAATGTACCACTTCTTATTTTTTTAGAAAAAAAAAATATCTAGAATAATTTATCGGCCGGCCTGTTCTTTCAAAAAATAAGTAGTACATTAAGACTCTGTATATTACGTAAAATGTTAAAACCCACAACTCCATATATATTTATTTTATTTCTTACCAGTTTCAGTTTAATCTCTATTCATTACCTTATTTATTTTATTAATTTTGTAAGGTTTTAGTTATTTTTCTCATTTTCGTTATTTTTTATACGGGTATTATTTTTTATTTTTTCTAAGGTAACACTAGTCGTTAAAAAAGAAAAAGAAATGGAGGTAGAAAGTAATTTTAAAATTTTAAATAAAAAAATTCAAAAAATATTAAAAAAACAAAAATTCATCAAAAATAATCCACCTTTCTTTTTGTGGTGCAAAACAAGTATTTTTGTTAACCCGTTGTTAGCAACTTAACGGTGACCCAAAACTCACTATTTTCAGTAAAGTTGATATTATTATGCATCACTGGGAAAGGTAGGATTATTTTTGAAAGACCGGGTAAAGTTGAGATTATCTTCGATAATTTTTTCAAAAAAATACGTGCAAAACTTCATAGAAAGTAAAAAATAAGAGAAGTTAAGTCGTATTGAGAAGTTGGAATTATTATGCATCACTGCCAAGTCGTATCGAGGTGAAATTTTAATCTTTTAGATGGAGTGTCTTCGTGGAGTTGCATCACACGCATTCGTGGTGTTCGTGGTTGCTTCAGCTCCGTACACTCGATGGGTCGTTCTTGGTCAGAGTACTCGATGTAGTTCGGTATTCAACATTATCGTGTTTTACTCCTTTCAAGCGTACATAGTGATATTCATCATTTCACGTTCTTGTCGCACATTCAGAGGTTCGACCACAAGCTTCAGGTGGCATTCATCTTGTGACACGACATTAATGGTAACGCATTCGACATTAAATGCATTCATCGATCTCCTAGTAGGTTTACCCTTTGCAAGTCGTAATCTAAGATTCTCACACAGCATTGTCAGGATTAGATAGGTTCATTCTGATTCATTAAAGTTATTTCACTAACGAGAGTAAGTGGGGCGTTCTACTAACGTCACCACAAATACTATCGGCGTTACTAATACTTGCTAACTAGACTTTTAACAGTCAGGAGCCCTTCAACGGTGCGTCCGCTAATGGCCAAACACCTTTCTATGTGTCGATGTCGCAACTTCTTTCGAGTCTGCTTCATTTGTCTCATCTTGTCGATCAGGGCACGTCGATACATCATGTCTTGCCAGATAGATTATTCATTACGTTCTTTTGGTTTGTATCTAGCCACATCACTACACTATGATGTGCTGGTGGTAAGCATTGCTTTCTTTATTAATCACACAAGTTCTCCTTGTCCTTTATACGGTCATTCCCGTTTGATACCAAAATAAGATTCCCTCATCCATCCAGGTCTACAGCCCTTCAGAATTTGGTTATCCATTTCGGTGATCAAATGAGATAATCGAATATTAGACAAGATATTTTATTATGAGTATATTTTTACACTCTTTTCTTTTGTTACCTAGCATCTCGTCGTCAAGGTTTATGTTAACATTCAACTTATAGTAAATAGGTTCCATCTACAGCATGTGAATTCCTATCTTAGAATATAGCATTTCCGTATGCACAATAGTCAACAATTCGCATCTCAACACAGACATTCCAACAATCAACTTGACACAGACATTCAAGCAATCAGCTTCATACAAATGTTTAAGCAATCAACTCAGCATAATTATTCGAATAGTCAGTTACTTACAGATATTTGAGCAATCAGCTCCAAACTATTATTTGAGCAATCAGCTCGATTCAAACAACTTGAGCAATCAACTCCACACAACGTTACGCAATAAGATAATAATTTATTACCTTCCAGGAGGCAGAGATGACGTGGAGATGCGGATGCAGTACCTTTAAATAACTTTTGCCATTGTTATTATTGTCAAAATAATACAATTCCCACTTATTTATTTTCAAAATAATACTTTGCAGTGGTCTGAAGACTGATTTTAAAACCATATGCTCTGATACCAAAATGTAACACCCCAACCCGCATAACCAAATAAATAAATTAGCGGACTGGGTTGCTACTAAATTGGTATCCACATACAATATTTTCCAATAAATTAAAAACATTTAATTTTAAACTCAAACAATTTAAAATCATTTAAATACATATCGGAGTTTATATAAACGGTGCGGAAGCTTTATAATTTAACCAAAACATAAACTTTACTAAATTCCTGCATCCATGTGTCTCCTTCGTCATGCTGCTCCTGAGATGGCTTCCAGAATCAATCTTTCACAAACACCTACGTGTAAAAAAGGGGAAAATAGGGCTACATGCTCAGCAATGAAACTGAGTGATATCTAACAGTTCGAACATACACTTAGGTGAATTCACTAATTCACAATTATCACATGATATCATGCACACAACATGTTGGGCAACAATCATACGGCATACAAGATATAACATGCATAGTCAACATTTATTTTTGCACATCATGCAGGCAGATATAGTAATATTTAATATTCAAAACATCTTACGATATTCATATTCATTTATCCAATCACATCGCTTAACCTATGATGGCTAAGGCAATTCATATACCTAAGAGTCATGGCACCCCAAGCCATGCTATAAAAGGGTCAGCTCTAGAAAACCCAAAGGAGATTCACTCTGGGCGAGTTGAAGCCATTGTCTCTGCGATGCCAAGATAGTTCAAGGACTTCCGTACGTACGTTTTTAACCCAAGACCACCGGGTGTGCGACGACGCCCCACAATGGCCTAAACTCTAGTCTTATCCTATTGATGATCCAATCAGTCAATCCAATTCAGATCTGCCTAATTATACTAGGTTGCCTATTTCTAATATTTTTCACAATTCACAATAATCACCAATAAGATTAATTTAGTTCAAATCTCAATTCATTATTCATCAACATATCAAATAGCGGCCTTTCAAAACTGAAGGCCCATGATTACCGTCATGCTCACATGGAGTCTTGGAATCAATCTTAGACGAAGACACAGATCAACAGACCCGGCATCAGGTACCATACGGTACCTATCACGGTACCTGGGTATCGGTCCTACGGTACCAGGGGTACCGTTCGAATCAAATGAGCCCTTTTGGTAGGATTGCCACGGTAGCCGACTACCGACCAGACGGTAGGGCCTACCGCCCGTCCGATACCTAGGTACCGTACGGTTGCAGCTATCGATAAAGGCGAAAGCAACCAACAGAGTGTGACAGTAGCGGTACCGCCTACCGTCTGATGCAATAATTTTCCGACCTCTTACCTATTCCATTTTCCAGTATCAAACCAACTACAATTCTCATAACAACAAACACCAATAGGTTCATATTAATGTCCTAAACATTATCAAGCACATGAACTCGTCAATCAATGCCTAAGTCATACATACTACCCTTTTCGATTCAATGACAACAATTTCCGAAACCACAATCAACAATTATAAGGATAAATTACATAGATCAACCACGATAATAATTATGAACAGAATTTCACACCTAGATGCATATTCTAGTGTTAAATGTCCACGTACTCACCTCGTTTGCTCAATTGAAATTCCAGGAAAGCATTGTCCAATAATGACGGAGTACGTGCACCGCCGCTGCCCAATTCGTCTTGGACATCGCCGGAGGTCACTAGAGCAGAGGGGACCTGCGCCACTGCTGTCTAGACCTATCTTCGCTGCTGCCCAAACCAGTCACCGGAACAGAGGGAGTCGCCGGAGCTTCCTGGTTCGCCGGAGCAGAGAATAGCCCTCGCCGGAGTTCCCCGCTATTTCGCCGGAGTGGAGAGTAGCCCTCGCTGGAACTCTCGTCATCGATGGCCGATCAACCCCCTGCGTGTCTTGGCGCTGCTGGAACTCAACGGAAATCAGAGGGAACCGCCGGGGGAACGGGTCGGGTCAGACGCCGCCGTGTCCCTGAGCCGCATCGTCGCCGTCTCCGGGTCCCTGAGCCGCGTCGTCGCCGTCGATTGGGTCGCGTCGCGGAATCGGAAGGGGGAGAGGAGGTTGGCGGCGTCTGGATCGTGGGTAAAAAGTAAAAACACACTTTAGGGCTCTCCAAATTGGACTATGTGAGGATTATTTTGGTATACAGAATTGATGGTATTGGAATTGAATTGGAATTTAAATTTCATGGGATTCAATTCTATGGAATTAAATTCTGCTAATTCCAATTTATTTTTTGCTCTATTAATTCCAAATTCACATAATTTTTGTGCTACCAAATACCAGAATTGGAATTGAAGTCTTCAATTCCAATTCCATAGTTTGAATTCCGTGTACCAAACGGGACCTTAGGGTAGTTGGGGCAAATTATACCGTATATCCGGCTGTACGGGAAGAACCGTACAGCCGGCAATTAATTAGGGCGAACGGTAGGTGACCTGCGCAAGAACGGCCGAATGGATCGGCCACGAAGGAGGCTGCGCGATGGATTCCCGATAGGCGATTCCCGATGAAGGAGGCTGCGCGCGATGAAGATGGAGGTTGTTGATGAAGGTCTTCCACAGAGGTTGTTGATGAAGATGGAGGTAATTGGATCCCTATCAATTCTACTTCCGTTCGCGATGGTCTTCCGCCGCAAGATCTTTTCTTCCGCTGGGGGAATGAGTCCTGAAGGTAGGTTGTTTAAAATTATATGAATGGTAGGTTGTTTAAGATTGAGTACTAGGTTATATGGGAATGACTACTACTGTGTTTTAGAATGAATATTATGTTATTCATAAATGAATATTGAATAAATTTGTGAAAGTACTGCATTATTTCAGAATGAATACCATGTTTTTCAAATGAACTCTTATGTTTGTGCGAGAATGAGTACAACTTTACTTCGGAATGAATACTACATGGATGTACCTATCTTTAGGTACATCCGGATGTACCATATACCAACTCGATAGTTGGATTCGATTCGTCTTAAATCGTTAGATTAATTAGTACTGATTAGTTTTTTAATTTAAATCCTTAACATTTACATCAGATCAATCACGATACACTGGGACTGTTAGAATCTCCAAAGTATCTTTTAATTCTTTCAAAGAATAGATTGTGATAAATAAATAATTCTTATTTATTTAATTATTGATTAACTTCTAGCCCGGTTTCTAGGGCGTTATAGGAGCTCTTAACTGATAGAATTTTATTTGATCAAAGAAGAATATTGTGTAATCAAGGTTTTTTTATAAAAACTTATTATTTTATTATTTATATAAATATTAATATGAAATGCATGGTATGTATACAAAATTCTAGAATTGACATCTTTTTTCGAAATAATTTAGTCTAATATTAACTTTTTTTGCAGAACTTCTTATCTCCCAGAAAATCTAAAGAATTTATGTTTGATTGAGATTGAAAAGTTACTTAATTCAAACCGACGATCCTTAAAAGAGTTTGGTCATATGTCATTTCCAGATGACAACTCACTCAATAAATTTCAAAATAACTTCTTGGTAGAGGAGTTGAACTATGATAGAGAATGTAACACCCGCCTTCCGTGGACCCGGTTCACCCGCGACCCGACGGACCGGTAGGGTTACATGGGCAGTCCGAGAATCGTCCGTTACAAAAACATTAATGATTATTTAATAAGAAAACGGTTGGGTTTAATTAGTGAAATAAATGTCAGGGAGTTACTCCTTAAACGTGTGTAAAAAAAAGTGCAGAGTAAATGCGGAATTAAATAAATAAGTCTAGTCCAAATTAAATAACGACAAGGGTGGGTTCATGCCCAAATGATTAATCAAGTAAATGAAAATAAATATAAGCTCGTCCGTGCGCCGCCCATCTCCCCATCGTCACTGCTCTCCGGGGTTAGCACCTGCACCGTCATGTCTACCTGCGTGTAGCAAAAACAACTACACGCTCAGCAAAAGCTGAGGAGTGAATCTAACAAAAGAACATTAAGTGATAACCCATATGGCTATACACATATTAATACCTGTACTTAACGTACGGAAAAACCACATGTTACAAACTGTTTAGTTTTCACCTGTTAGAGCCTTTACAAATGACAAGGTGATTGGAACATTCATGATGATGATATGACTTGATGCATGACTCCTAACTATCAGGGACACCCCTGACTTAGTCTCACTCGACAGGATCACCCTTGCACTCCGGTCATCATCCCCGAACGGTAACGAGCCGGGCACGACGAAGATGTCGCGGGTGGACTAGCAAAACCGGGTAGTAGCCGTAACCTGACTACTATGTACGTACACAAGCCCAACAAGATGAAACCCGTTGGTCCCCAAAGGTTGCTGGACGGGCCCACTGTAGTAGGCGCACGAAGTCCTCCCTACAGCGGTATGCACATGATGAAAACCTAGGACATGCGTCTAGTATGAACGTGATGGATGCTTGATATTTTTACCTTTGGTAAATGCCAAGAATATATCACTTATATAACATTTAAAATAAAGATTAACTTTTCATGCAAGAACGATCAGATTCTGGGTCAACGTGGTCAACGGGGCTCGTTCTACAAACTGCCCGGGAGTCTGCCCGCAGAACGGTCGACCGTACCCTACCAGCGGTCGACCGTGGACTGCGTTGTGGGGAACTGGATGGCCGACGGTCCACCGTGGTCTTCCGTCGTGGCCGGCGGTCGACCGTCACGGTGGTGACCGTCGGATTGGCCATGGGAACGGCCCACCGTCCGTAGCGGCGATCGACCATCCCAGAGGCAGTCCGCTGTCCCTTGCTCCGTTTTGGTCCGTTTTGCTAATTTAACACCTAGATTCCTTTTAGAACAATAACACAACATTTATGAATATATTCCTAGTGATTCCTAGGCCAATATTTATAAGTTTTACGTAATGAACATTTAGTGGCTAACCTACGAACATGCATAGTTTCTACGTAGGTTGCGTACGATATTACTACGAATATAACGACATAGATTATAACTAAATGTTCTAGAATTAGAGGGGACAACTACTCACCTCTTTTAACGAAGGGGTTGACGAAACTATGAGACGAGATGAACGAACAATTAGCAACGAACCAACGAACGGACGAACGGACAACCTCCTGCGTGCCTTTCCTCCTCTTCTACCTTCCGTCTACTCCCCGGAATCCTCCCTGGTTTGCTTGCTGCCTTGGCCGAACAAGAGGAAAGGGAAGAGAGAGAGAATGTGTGTTGAATGTGGGAGGTTACCAAAAAGTGAAGGAGGAAAGGAATGGGTTGGGGGTTTTAAAATAAGACAATGATGAGAATTAATGGGCAATGATGGTGATATTGAGGGGGGCCGAACCAAGGCTTAGGGGGGGGGGTTACAAATATATTTTACTCCGTTATGTAAAAATCTGACCTGAACGGTACGCGGTTTTCCCCCTGAACAGGTTTGAATTGAGATCCGTTTGCGTTTCTGAATCAGACAGTTAAAACGAATTTAATGATGTGATCAAATAATTTTTCTAAGAACTTTTTATTTTCCCCAACTCCGGTCCGGAATAGTAATTAATTAATTAAATTAATCAATTCTATTAGACCGGGTTGCAGGGCGTTACAGAGAAAATTTGTCATCTGATCCTAGACAATACTTATCTACCATGAATGAAGACCAGAAGAAGATATACGATGAGATAATGGAAGTCGTGACAGGCTAAAAGAGGAGGTTTCTTTTTTTGTGTATGGTTTTGGGGGAACCGAAAAGACCTTCCTCTGGAAATCACTATCCGCTTCTCTTAGATCAAAAGGAAAGATTGTTCTGAATGTTGCATCCAGTGGCATTACAGAATTTTTATTGCTTGGTGGAATGACTGCACAATCTAGATTCTCAATCTCATTGGCGCTAACTGAGTACTCAACGTGTAACATCAAACAAGGGAGCCCAAAAGCTGAATTGATCCAACAATCAAGTCTTATCATATGGGATGAAGCATGCATGATGAATAGCTTTGCTTTTGAGGCATTGGATCGCACAATGAGAGATATTATGGGTTTCTCTAATAGTAACTAAAGAAATGAACCATTTGGAGGGAAAATAATTATACTAAGATGTGACTTTCGGCAGATCCTTCCAATTATACTTAGAGCTTCGAGAGAGGAAACTGTAGGTGCTACAGTCAATTCCTCAAATTTGTGGTCGTACCGTAAAGTTTATACGTTGACCAGAAATATGAGATTGCATTCATCCACGTCTTCTTGCGTAGATAGGGACACACAAGCTTTTTCTGATTGGATAATCAAAGTGGGTGATGGAAAGCCAGGTAAGGTGATGGATGGAGTTAGTGATGTTGAGATTCCGTCCGAATTCTTAATTCTTGATACAAGTTCTCCTATCAAGAGTATAGTGGACTTCACTTATCCGATTATACTAGAGAATATGAAAATTTATTCTTTTTTTGAGGATAGAGCACTATTAGCACAAACTCTTGAAGTAGTTGAAATGATAAATGAATTTGTCCTCTCTCTCATTCCTTGTGATGAAAAGGAGTACTTGAGTTCCAATTCTTCGTGCCAAACAGATGCAGATGTAGGTGTTGATGACGATTGGATAACAGTTGAGTTTTTTAATGAAATCAAATGTTCGGGAATCCCAAACCACAAAATAGTCTTGAAAAAAGGGGTACCGATTATGCTATTGAGTAACATTGACCAAACATATTGATTGTGTAATGGGACAAAATTAATCGTTCAAGAGTTTCGAAATAATGTTATCAATGCAATTGTGGTTTCGGGAAATCGAGTCGGGGAAAAGGTTTATATCCCTAAAATGAATTTGGTACCATCTGATCGAGGAACTACCCTTGAGGCCTTGAAGTTCCAAAGAAGACAATTCCCAATCATCTTATGTTTTGCTATGACTATCAAAAAAAAGTCAAGGTCAAACATTGTCATTTGTGGGATTATTTTTAACCAAGTCAGCGTTCACACGTAGTCAACTTTATGTTGTTCTTTCACGAGTGAAGACAAAAACATGATTAAAGATATTGGTTCTAAATGACAATGGAAACCCTTGCAACCATACCAAAAATTTTATATACATTGAAGTCTTTCAAAAAAATTGG